AATGATCGGAACAAAACCAAATTAGTACGATACCATCCTTGAGGTACTATCTTTCCGATAACAAAATAATAATCGAAAACGGTGCAAATGTTTCAAAGTGATCCGTTGCCATGCACAAAAAAACAATCCGTATGCATTTTTAAACTTGCTCCTGTAATTGAAGTCGGTCAAAAAATTCGCTGCCCGTAGAATCGAACCATAGATATTTCAAATGCCACGCCAGGTTTCACTCCCTGCAAATACGCATGCAATTCTGGAAAGCTTTCTGCTGAGTCAGGCAGAATTCCTTTAGAATGGAAAGTCAGCCAATATATGCAGGTGTCCCTCAAGGCAGTGTTCTAGGAGCCATATTGTACGTAATATACACTCGTGATTTGCCAACTAATGATAGTCTAACCATTTCAACGTTTCCTGACGACACAGCTACCCTAAGCAATAGTTCAGACCCTAAAGAGACTTCTTACAAGCTGCAAGAATATTTGAAAAAGTTAGAGCTATGGCTAGGTTCTTGGAGAATAAAGGTTAACGAAAGCAAGTGTGTTCAGACAACATTTACGTTTAAGAAAGAAACTTGCCCACCACTAAAAATAAACAGCAAGGCTACCACAAAAAGGTAGTGTAAAATACCTTGGGATGACACTAGATAGAAGACTTACCTGGAAAAAGCATATAGAAAACATGGGCATATGGAATCGGGCTTTGGGGCACAGCGTGCAATTCCATTTTGAACAGACTTCAAAGACTGCGGTCAAAAATTTTACGCGCCATATGTGGAGCACCGTGGTACATAAAAAATACGAATATCCACAAATATCTTAATGTAAATGCGGTGCATAAGAGGGCTAAGCATCAGTTACTCAGCACGGTTAATCAACCATCCAAATCGACTAGCGAGAGCTCTTCTTAGCCCGAGATATGCAAGAAGACTAAAAAGAAAGGATTTCTCCGATATTATCAAATGATGCGCAATATAATAAATTTCGATATCTGTAATAAATATATCAATTTCNATATAATAAATTTCGATATCTGTAATAAATATATCAATTTCGGCTCTGGAACTCGTCCTTTCAGACCGACTACCCAACACCAGTGTCAATGCGGCGCGGAAACTTGTCCTTTTCGACCGAACACAACCTACTGCATTGTAATTACTTAAATATAGAGAAGCGAAGGCGCGGCGTGGAAACTAGTCCTTTCGGAGCGTATGACCAGCACGATATCCAGCGATCCTGCTGCTCGGATTCTTGTCCATTCCGATTGATGCAACAACTATAGTAAATATAGATGTATGAAAAAATCAAAAAAGGTCTAAGCCTTACCGCAGAAATTTTAAATTTAATTGTAGTTTGTAAGATTTGAAAACTTATTGTTGGGACTACTTCTTCACTGCTACGTTTTTAGCCAAATTTTCTGCCTTTTGGCAAATCTAAATATTGTACGCCAAAGTGTCACAGCTTCAGCTGTATTTTTTGTTAAATATTCAATTTACTAAAGAATATATTGCATAGCGATTATTTTTTGCAACGCCTAAGATTTATAGGCTTGCATTGAACGGCAAAGCAGTGAGTTTTTTTTATTGATTTTTTCATATAATCATATCGGTCGTGCCGACGCATACATAAATAATTTATGCGAAAACTTTACGCAGCAGACTGCTTATATTTGTGTAAGCTCTTTTTAAATCTCCTTATTAGTATTTAAAGAGCGTAAATGCGCACAGGGCAAATGTTTGCGGCGATTTATGTACATATTTACATACATATTTACTTATATAAGTGAACTTTTACGATTGCTTGTTTTACAAGTACTATTAAACAGAAAATTTTTCACCACCAGCTGTATAGCCATAAGCTTAAAAACATAATTCGAAACCACAAAATTACATAAATTTTTTTTTTTCCCCCTCTTTATGGCGAAATTTAGGTTTACCTGCGGAAATATTTTTATATTGGCATCAATATCCCTACCTGTTCGGACTGCCCTTCTGCAAGATACGTGCGTTCATTTCAGAAGCGTAAGTACTTAATATGAATAATTTACATAAATACAAATGCGCAACGTGTATTAGCCCGGGTCGGTGCACATGCGATAAAAAAAAAACTTTGCAACTACCCCCACTAAATTGATAGCTTACTTCGTGAGGATTTCAGGGTCATAAAAATTTGCATCCTTAGCGAATCCTAAACAAGCTCAAGTTTTCTTTTTAACTCCTTTATTTATTACTGGATTTTGAAGTGTGAAACATTTACTTCGGTTGAAAACGAAATTTCAAGGAGAAAATATATCGCTTACTAAAATGTTTTATTTTATGTAGAGCAAAAATATATTTAATGACGTAGAAATTGAGTTATTTTAAAACTAGGTGGGTAATTGCAATATTATTTTCACGATCCAGTCTAATGTGTATGTACTTTTCATATACTTTCACTACTGACATTTACTTTTTCATGCGGTTTATATTATGGTTTCATTTGAAATTTTTCTTAACCATAATTTATATTTTTTCTCCTTTTTTTTAGTTCGACGTACGTCTCCGTGCTCACCATCGTCGCCTTCTCCATGGAACGCTTCCTCGCCATTTGCCATCCATTGCATTTGTATGCGATGAGCGGCTTCAAGCGTGCAGTTCGTATTATTGCCGCCCTTTGGATTATAAGCTTAATAAGCGCCATTCCATTTGGTCTGTGTACGGACATAGAGTATTTGACTTATCCCCTCAGTAAGTATGCCAATCATTCGTACAATAAATTTCATGTCCAAAATATTTTTTTTACCCCTTCCAAATATGATGAAAATGTACAATTGCTGTCAGTTTTCTCTAGCCCTGTTTAATAGCGTGTACAAGTATTTGTGCTTAGATGTGTATATGTATATATGGGTATATTTAAATCAGTTTTTTTCTCCTCTTCAAACAGCCGACGCAAAAATACCCGAATCCGCCTTTTGCAGTATGGTTGATTATCCTGAAAGTTTCCCTTTATTTGAGCTGTCCTTCTGCGTTTTCTTCGTTATACCGATGTTGCTGATTATAATCTTGTATGGCAAGATGGGCGCGCAGATACGTTTCAGCACCACGTTGCAATTGGGTAAGTGCAGCGAAAGTGCTCCTTAGAAACACATACATATTTAATTATAAAGAAAGCAGAAGTTTCGTATAAAATTATTTCTAATGTTTCTACTATTTAATTAAAAACGCCTCATATTTGCCATCCTTTTATATCATTTTTTCATACAGGTGTTCAACAAGGCTCTATGCATCGTGAATCTCGACATCAGCAGTCGCGTAAAGCGGTTATCCGCATGTTGGGTAAGTGACAAACGGAAGTTTCTATAATTACGTACATACTTTTCTATTAGGTCGACAACGAACTCAGGTGCGCACTTTAAAAATAAATTAGATATATGTACACTTTTCTTATCTTCTGTTAAGCATAAGGAAAAATACCTCACTGAGTCACCAGCGCACAGTGGTTCTAAACTATCATTTACTATTCATAATGCAGTGAAGCCTTCATTTTTCACTCAGTTTGATTACTTTTTTTTTAATGAAAGCTTATAAAATTTGCCAGAAACCAGTTGATCCCGATTCTTGAATTTTCACCGACTTGTATTCAATTTTTTAGTGCAAACTGCTGGAAAATTTGCAATTTTGAAGGAAATCGGATCTCCTGTTCCAGTTAATACATATTACATAATAATTAGTTGAGAACAACTGTAGGGCTCTCCCAAAACAAAAAGAAAAATTAAATCCTAAAAAAATTTTGAAATGTTGTAAAACAAGTTTTTATCAAAACTAAATTTTTGTTAGTTTTTAAAAAATTTGGGGTATGCCCTTGTACAGACCATGAAATTTTAGCATCATAGAGTGAAAGTTTCAAGTGGTTAAGAGTTCGCGTTGATTTTTAATTCTACATATACATATATAATGAGAATATAAACTACACAAGACGCAGATGTGCTCGAAAAGTTAGAGAAAATTATTAAAAATCAACGCAAACTCTGAGCCACTTGAAACTTGCACTTTATTATACTAACTACCGGTTTCACGAAACCAATTTAAGTGAAATATTCTTTTTCTGTCAGTTTACATACTACTAAGTTAAAATAAAAAAAATAATTTTTAACTCCAATTGATTTCATGAAACTGGCTTTAAGATTTAACCATCTATAAAATTGCATACCGAAATTTTTTCTAAAAACTCAAAAAAAAAAAAATTAATTTTGGTGAAGTTTTTTTTATAACATACCAATTTTTTTTGTGATTTTTTTCGGTTTTGGCGAACCTTAATTTTGTTTTGGTTGTTATTATGTATTTTTTATTAACTGGAAGAAGAGAATCGATTTTCTTCAAAATTGCTACTTTTTCCGCAATTGCACTAAAAAAATTAATTCAAACATACAAAAGTTCAAAAATCGGGCTCAGCTAGTCTCTTACAAATTTTATAAACTTTCATTAAAAAAAAAAATAATCAAGTTGGTTGAAAAATCAAGGCTCCAGTGAATTATGAACATTAAATTCCAGTTTTGACCCACTGTGCAGCGGAGCCAACGCTTGTTCTATGCAACAAAAATTCTTGTGAACTAAATTCCTAAACTAATAAAAACATTTTCGAAATATAAACAGGTTTCGTCAAACCTCTCGCGTGTAATACCCAAACTAAAGTAAAGGTGGCAGCTTCCTTTGAGAGTATCTTTTAATTAAAGCTTTCTCAAATATTTTGTTAAACTTGTTAACTATGTAAATTTATTTTTACTTTTTGCACAGGTGGCGATCCTCTTAAAGGAGATTTTTTCAATTAATTATTTTTGAACTCCTTTTGTTTGGCACCCATGTTGTTGTGCTACTTTATTTAACTTAAAAATTAATAGATTTTAACTCTCAAAACAGTTGGCAACCTTTTTTAAAATATCTTCGAAATAAATCTTTTTGGAAGCTCTTTCAGTTCACATAAGTATACAGTATTATAATATTTTGTTTACCTTAGTTTTAAATTGATTTGAACTTCCAAAACAGGTGGAAACTTTCTTGTAAAAATATAGTATATGTTTTGTACCCTATATATGTGGCAACTTTCATTAAAATGCGTTTAGCGTCAAAGAGCCACAAACATGCTCACAAATATTCCCATTCATTATTCTAGTAAAATTTTTTCCCCAATTAAAAACGTTTTCATCCTGTCTTGCAATTTTACGAAAAATTTAATTTTTATCCACAAAAACATTTTTCTCTATTCCAAGTTGCGTTTTATCAAAACCTCAAAATATTTAATTAGTCAAACAATTTTCAGAAATGTATTCTATAACAAGCGCTTTACAAAAATTCTCAAGCAAGGCAAACATATTTGCGCGTATGTATACGCACATAAATATATGAATATGTGCTAGTACCATACTTTTAGTTTATTGTGCATTCCATTTAACTGCTGAATCTGTATGTATGTAGTCTTCTAAATCGGTATTTCAACTGTTGCTGTTTGCCGGCCAAGAGATCCTTTTTCATGTTTTCAAAAGCCACAAAATAAACACTGGTACTCGAGTATGCCTCTATACATATATGCACAAATGTATATAAATTTCTATAGTGAATATGTACATATATACGTGCATGTACATTAGGGTGGTCCAAAACCAGTAAAGTCGCAATTGTAATGCTCTCACCACCTAGGATTGTTCTATATCGAAAAAAGTATACCGCGCTGAGCGCTTTGAGCGACCTCTAAATATTTCTTGATTTCAAAATAAAAAAGTAGGAATACATTTTTTTTTTTGGGGTATAGAACCCACGTTGGGGGTGAGAGCATATAAATTCCGACTTTACTTTTTCCCCCCCAACATGCATTTTTGGACCACCCTAATGTACA